CGTGTCTGCTGGCTTCTATTAAATGAAATGTAAGCTGTTGTTTCTACAGGAAAAGAAAGTTAACACTCCCAGGCTCACTTTTGCTTCGTGATCCTATTTATTCTTAACTTCAGGAAACAACAAAATTCTGTCCTTGGCTTCAACCAAGTTCAAGCCTGACTCGTTAAAATTGAGATAGATTCCTTTATAATTAAGTTCATATGCGTCAATTCTAATCAGCCTTGAAGAATACTACCACATAATCAAATTCCTATGGAGCTAGCAACCAGTGCTGCAAAACTGATCCTTTAGGTCATGAAGCTACTTTTCTGAGCGGAGCCTACAGCGCTGGAGAGATGGCTCAGCGGTTAAGAGCGCGTGCTGCTCTTCTAGAAGACCTGAGTCCAGTTGCCAGCACCCACACCCGGCAGCTCGCAACCATCTGACACTCAGCTCCAGGGGGTCCTCGCCGCTGTCCTCCAGCCACGTGCACAGCCCCAGATGCACACTCTCACCTACACATACTAACAAGTAATAAAAAATAAATCATTTTAGAAAGTGGAGCCTACAAAATGTCTCAAGGCCAGCCACAGTGTCAGACACTGTTTTTAATCAGGATAAAGGAGAATATTATTATACATAAAATATAATGAAATCATTCGAATTCATACAGAAAACATTGGCACCAACAGAAAAATGGTCAAAGTCTATTGACCACAATTCACAAACATCTGGAAAAAATCATTTGATTTTCATTTGATCAAGAAACATTCATATAGAACAAGCCCCAAATGCAGTTTTGCGCTTGCCACACACCGTCTTTTTAAATAATCACATAATCAAGTGCTGCAAGGAGAAGGTGAAGCTAGGTGTTTTTTTTGTTTGTTTTTTGTTTTTTGTTTTTTATTTCAAGAAAAACTATTCTCCATGACTATGCCAGCACAGAGCAATTGGGGTGGGCACAGGAATAATTGGAAAGATTTGTTTCTACCCAAGGAAAGAATCAGTAAGAGCTATGGGTGCAACAGGTCCAGGGGCTGAAGAGCACAGAGCCTAGGAGCGGGTGCAGGGGTCAGCCTGCAGCTCCTGAATGGCGCTCAGCCACTTCCTGCGTCCACCACCACCACCCTATGGCTCAGTTTCATAATTTGTGAAATGTGATTAGTAGAACTGCCTCCTGCCACTTTTGTGGTCCTTGGGTGAAATCAAATGTGCTCTTTAAGTGCCTGTGCAGAGTTAGTGCTTAATGCCTGGCAGCCTACATTATCACTACCCAGTAAAGGCCAAAAACTAGCTCTTGAAGCAGCTTAATTTTTCATTTTCAGAGGCATAGTTTATTTAATATGTAATGGTAAATCATCAAAAGGGTTTGCACAGTTATTTTCTTAATAATCTATAGAAATAATAAGATGTTTATATAATAGGGTATAAAATAAAATAGCAAAGAATATACTTGTTCTTACAAAAATGATTCATGTTAAGTACATTGTTTGAAAACAAAAGCAGTTGTATGAGAGTAGATGGATTGTAGCTGATTGAACATTATTTTAATAATGGCATATTTCCACTTAATGAAGTAGTCTACTAAAATCGGGCCAGGCAAAAATGACTGAGCATCCAAGCACATCTTCAGCATATTAAATAGGCCAAACGCATTTTGTGAAGAAAAAAAAAAACAAAAAAAACTCAATCACTTTCTTATTAATTTCCATCTACTTAATTACGAGTGTTTCTTCCTTAGAAAGCCCTCCACTCTAATCGAACCAGCATTTTAGAAAGCAGCTTTCTGGAAAAGTGACGTAATGATCCATACAAAAGCAAAGAGAAAAGTCCTGCTTTGAGAGGTGTGGGGTCCTGATGAGTCTTAGTGAATTGGTCTTTTTCTAGTCTTCCTGACAATCAAAAGCAGGAAACAAGGAAACATACCTTTTAGAAAATATTACAGAGGAAATGTTTCATACAATCCCCCCCCCATTTCAATTTTTTAACATGTCAAAGGGAGCCGATTGAATCCATAATTCAAGGTTATTTGCAAAGAAAAATAAGGAAATATGCCCAAGTCACTCACCATATTTGGTGCCAAATATGCAGAAGGCAGCTTTTCCTTTGTTTTTGCTTTTCCTGGACCCACTTCCTGAGAGAAGATAATGTGTCCCATCTAATTTGTTAGGTCTGAGAAGAATTAACAGAGCAATGTTGATGTTGTTGGGTTTTGTTGGGATTTTCTGTTGTTTTTGTTTTTGTCAGTGTCAACAAGCTAGGGTCACTTGGCAAGAGAAACCCCCACTTAAGAAAATTCCTCCAGCCTGTAATCCCTGCACTCAGGAGGCAGAGGCAGGAGGATCTCTGAGTTCCAGGCTAGCCTGGTCTACAAAGTGATTCCAGGACAGCCAGGGCTACACAGAGAAACCCTGTCTTAAAAAGCAAAGCAAAACAAAACACCTCCACCAGCTTGACCGGTACACAAGTCTATGGTCACTTCCTTAGTAACTGACGAGAGGGCCCACCGCCACGGCGTCATCCTGGGCGGCCCTCTGCTTAGCTGTCCATAACAGCTGCCCCACAGGGTTTAACTGCCTGGCTGCGTGGGAGATGCACAGTGCCTGTACACAGCAGGAGCTCCTGTCTACTGCTGTTACCAGGCAGGTTCCCTTTGGCGGACAGACGTGGATGACTAAATTGTCATGTGTAGATAAGTAGTTTGCAAAACTGTTCAAATTTCCAATTACTCATTAGGCCCAGCTGTCTATCAAAGGGTACCACCTTCCTTTTGATAGAGGCCCCTACCTCTTTCCAGTATTTTCCATGACATCAGGCTGAGGACTTGACATGCTATAAGCAGCACATGGGAAAATCTAAGCAGAAGAGACTGTACTTAATTAGTTCAGTTCCAAGTCTTGTCATCTTCAGCCCAGAGCAGGTTGGTTTTAGAGTGTGAACGGAAGGTGTGTCTGCTTCTCTGTTCTAGGCAAAAGGCAGGAATCCTGACAAGTCCAAGACAGTGGGGTGTAAGTATACTTGACACCCTGAAGCTTCTCTGTGCAGCGCGGCCGATTGCCTGGGGCCTACATTCAGTCTGGCGCCTTGGACAGATGCAGTGTCCCTCTCACAGGAAAACCATCAGTCCTGAAACGGACAGTGCTTTCCAGTGTCTGTCCTTTGCTTTCCAGTGACTGCTGCGGGGCAGTGCTCCGCTTATGTCGGAAACCAGTCCCTTGCTTCCTCTGGCCTCATCTGTCTGTGCGGGTAATAAGCACTTGCAAATGCTTGCAGAAGCTGGTTCCACCGGGAGTCCCACAACAATGGAGGTGTTGAGCTGTGACTCCTGCTGCAGAGGTTTGGTCCAGTTCTCCGTGGTACCACAATGCCAGGCCCAGCCAGGCCCAGCCAGGCCCCGCCAGCCTGTGACAGACACAGCAGCTTTCCAGGCCCTGTTCTCGTATTGCATCATCCTGGGAGGGCCTGGAGGGAGTCTGGGCTAGCAGAATTCAAAAACAGCTTTCAGAGACTTTTACTGCCGGGGAAGATGAGCTGTGGGTAGGGTTTCTGAGACACAAGTACAAGTTGGTACATGACTCTGATTTTTATCAAGTTGAACAGTGCAAATGCAAAATACAAAGGGGACACAGAGAGAAAAGGAGTCACAGAGAAAGAGCTCAGGACTATTATTAGCAAAGAAATATTTTTAACATTTTTCCCAGCCTTGTGCAACTGTTCTTGGTTGAAATAAAGGACCGATCAAGCCTAGAAAACTCCCAGTAGGTTTGCAGCTGCCATTCTGTGGTTTTTAAAGAACAAGAGGCCTTTGTGGCTGCCAGCTCTCATTATGCCTCCACTTACTCTAGCAGAACACGTGGGATGGCGCAGGAGTTACCACACAGGCTCTGCTCCGATGCTGAAAGGCACCGCGCTCAGTGTCCCTTGGAGAAGGCTAACCTCACACTGTCACGTTGTTGCTCTGGCACTTGGCGTCATTACTGAGCACCTGCAAGGTGCAGGATGGCCATTTTTAAAGCCTGCCCGCCTGCTGAGGGCCCATTACTGCCAGCACGTTGTCTCTCTCCCTGATCGCAGTCCCCACTCCTCAACAGCCTGCAGCCTCTTTTCCATTCTGGTGGCTCAGGTTGCATGGTGGCACAGCTAGAAATGGCCAGGCCAAAGCTGTTCTGTCGCTGTTCTTCAGACCGCCTGCCTGAACACCAAGACGGGTCTCCCAGCTCTGGGTCTGGGTTAAGTACTTGCTGGTGGGCCAGAGTCTGTGTCAGCGGTTTTCCACCTGTGGTTCTGACCCCTTTGGCAAACCTCTGTCTCCACAAACGTTTACATTAGGATTCATACCGGCAGCAAAATTACAGTTCTGGAGTAGCAACGAAAATAACTGTATGGCTGGGGGTCACCACAACATGAGGAACTGTATTGAAGGGTCTCAGCACTAGCAAGGTTGAGAACCACTGCTCTGTGTGCATTTCACAGGAAACGTCGGTTTGGCCAGGAAATCAAGCTGCTCTTCGCTCTAAAACTCCCACAGAAACTACCTGTGCACTGTAGGTAGTGCTGAATGTCGGAAGTGGATTTGTTTCTGGTGATTTTAGCAAATGGTTAGGTTTTAGGAAACTCCAGTGACCACCACTTTGACCACTGATCTTTTAGATTATGAAAGCTTCTTTTAATTGGACCTCTGTGACAGGTCCACATTTTAAATTGAAATATATCCAGTGCTAACTTATTTACCGTAGAGATATTAACTAAACTCTTACTATTTTGAACTTTCCTTCTGATGCAACCGAAATGAGTATCATGTAAATAGACAATTATATTTAATATTTTGATTCGTGTTTTGAAATAGGGTCTACATAGCCTGGACTGACCTCTAATTTACAAACCTCCTGCCTCACTCAGCTTTCTGAGTGTTAGGATTAGAAGAATTCGCCACTGTGCCCCTCTGCCAGTTACATGTGTAAATGATCGTAATCCCGACCGCAGACAGACTCTATCTGCCTTAGGCGGCTGTTCGTGGGGAGCCAGGAGCTAAAATAAGCTGAATTCAGCTGCTTCTCACAGGCGTTGGCAGTGCCTGAAAACTAAGCGTGGAGAACGCCGCCCCTCTGCACCAGGAGAAAGCAGGGCTTCTGAAACACGTCCGGAGTAATGCTCGCCACCGGGCGCTGGTCTCCCCTGAGCTAGCGAGGCTGGCTCCCTCTGCCCGGGGCATGCAAGGTGAAGGCTGCCCGCCTCGGGTGAGGAGCCTGCTGGGCTCGCCCCCAGTCCCTGGACCCGGAACACAGAGCAGAGGTGCTGGAAGGCTGGCCGCAGAAGCCGGGCGCACTCCAGAGCCCGGGGATCGGGAAGCCTGGGCAGGGCCAGTCAGTGCCGGGCTGGACGTCCCCTTGTTCTGCAAACACCTTGGGCTTCAGCCTTGGCATCCGGTGGGTCTAGAACGAGCCCTTCAGCGCCCTCGCCCCCTTTCTTCCCAACCGAACGCTCCTAGAAGCCGTGGGAGGAGAAGCCAGGCAAGGAGCGAACTGCCAGCGTGGCCGGACAAGGAAGAGGTCCCAGCCGGGTAAAGCCGGTCCGGGGCGCTTCCCTGCCTCCACGCAGCGGAGCGGGCTGCGCGCGGTGCAGGGACGAAGAGCCCTTTCCCACGAGTCAGGTGCCATCGAGTCATTTGCTGGGTGAACTCCGTGGCCGACAAGCGCCACCCTTACGGCAACCTGCCCTAGGCTGCTGCCGCCTTAGGACGCTGGGGACTTAGGAAGGAGCTCCCCTGCCAGCAGGGGGTACCGGGTCCTTCGGTGGGGGGTGCCGGGCTCGGGGAGGGGCGGAGGGCTGCCTGAGGGCGGCCGGGAGAGCCTCGCTGTCCTGCGGCCGGTGCCAACCCGCGCCCAGGCACCAGGTTGGGCGGCACCAACAAAAGAGGACTTGGAGCCGAACAATCCCGCGTAGGGAGGCGTGAGTGGCAGGAGGCTGGATTTGGGGTTGAGCTACAATTAGGGGGAGATAATTAAGCCCGGAGCCGTGCAGCTTATTAATATTTATAGCCCGCGGAGACAAGGCCCTCGCCGCGCAGGAGCGTCTCCGGGCCGCGGGCTTCGCAATGACTGGGGAGGAGACAGGTTGATGACAAAATGGGGCGAACCCGCCTCTGCGCTTGTGGTAATTACCGAAGCCGGGAAGTATGGGAGCGGAGACGGGCCGGGGAGACTGCGTCTGTGTCTCGGGGTCCGCGGACCCCTGCCTTCCTCCAGGGCCCCAGCCGTGCCCTCCCGGGTACCTGGCCCCGCGGCCGTGACGGGGAAGGGCGACCTGCGGGCGTTCCGGGAGGAGCTCCTCCCCGCCCAGCCCCGGCCGCCGGCGCGCTGCCGAGCAGGCCCGGCCGAAGGTGGCCCGCAAGCGCGCCCCCCGGCCCCGAGCTTTCTCAGCGGCGCGGCCCGCGGGGGCGCGGGGGCGGGGAGCGCCGGCCATGTGTACTTCACGCCGCGCTCCGACTTCAGCTGTTCCCGAGCCCCGTGGGGGAGGGGAAGGCGCGGGTGGAGGAGGGGCAGGAGCCCCGCGCTCCCCGCCCCTCCTCCCCCCTGCTGGCCTCCCGCGGCCACGCCGAGCAGCAGCCTCCGCGCCCGGTGCAGATCGATTCTCCGTAATAAACGCGGGGTTCCGCGGGGGCCGCCGCCGCGGTTCCCATGACAACCGTGTGCTTCACTTCAGTCCGGGAGCCCCGGTCGCGCGCGGAGCTGAGGATGGAGCTGTTCGCGGTGACCGCGGTGGCGGCCAGCCTCTTCCTACTCCTGCTCTTTCTGGTCTTCATCTCGGTCTACGTCGGCTCTGGCCCTCGCCCGCAACCTCTGTCCCAGAACTGTTAATTGACGAGGAAAAGAAGGGGTGGCGATTTGTCGCGAGGCATGGGCCCGATGGAGGAGCCGCGCACCACAAAAGATCCTGCCAAGAAAGACCCAGCCTCCACCCAGGCCAGGCGTGGCGATACCAGGCACACTCCACGCGCTGTGTCCAGCTCGTCCAAGCACCTGCCAGGGTTGGCGAGCCCCGACAGCACCGACACGCAGGAGCCCTGTGTATCAAAGGGAAGATCAACGGGTTTTAATTGTGATGATTGTGGTTTATAGCATAAAGGCTTGCTTAACAGAGAGATGTCGATGGCATGATAAGCGGAGTTATTTTTACACATCTGTATACACACACCTAAAAAGGAAATGTTTTGGTAGGCACGAATGAATTTTCTCTCTATAAAAACGTGTGCAGTTCATGGAGGACGGGTTTAAGCAGAAGGAGATGGTGGTGTTAGTTGACAGAAATGATTATACTGAAGATAAAAGCTGTCTCTTTAGTTACCACAGTTCGCGTATGTACACCTCTTAACACTAGCTTGGATACAGAAATGAGTAGCTATAGCGACCATCTAAGCTGCTTTATACAGGGAGAGTGACCCTGATGGAGGACTCACCTGTTCAGTGACAATGCCAACTAACTCTTTTAAAAGTGCCCCTCTGCTTCATGATGTCTGAAATAATGTACTTTGGTACTTCAATGTTCCTTTTCTTGACTTCAGTGTCTTTGCTTTCTGACAATTGTCACCTTCCTTCTTATCACTCATGTTTGTTTTTAAAAGCAAACTTTAAAAAAAAAAATTACAGAATAGTTGGAGGCTTACAGAGAAGTTGGTAAGAGTCCTTTCCCTGCCCTTAACTTTTCCCATCATTGATATTAGTCATGATTAACTAAGTTACTGTGGGACATTTGTCATAACTAACGAACGGATGTTAACACATTATTAACTAAGCTTCATAGTTCATTTGGATTTCATTAACTTTTCACTTCCTTTTTTCTGTTTTTGGATCCCGTCCAGACTATATCACATTATGATTAGTCCTGTCTCCTTGGTTGGGAGAGCTTGGCTGTCTATGACCTTGAGAGTCAGAATTATTTTTGGTTTTGATTGAAATGTAATTTACATAGTGACATGAAAATAGCTCAAAACACAGTCACCTGAGTTTTAACCATTACATCCACCTAATCGAGCCCTGTACAGAGAACATCAAATCTATTGTTTAAAACATTGTCTTGAAAATTTGCAGTTGTATTTGTAAAGTTTCCCTGTTAATAACCACAATCTAATAACTGTTTTCTCCAGATCTTTCAAGTCCTACCTTCTATGTAAAACTGCTCAGGTTGCAAGGATGTTAAAGCGCTTTTAACCTGAAGGTAGCTTAATGAGTCACTGACCATCTACTTTGAATACTCTTCTTTGGACAGAATTTAGGCTACTGACCTCTGTTCTACCACCACCATAGGGACCCCATAGGCAGCTTGAAACCAGGAAAACCAGAAGTCAGCCAGTCTGAGGAGCTCACAGGATGACTGGGAGATTTTAGCATCAGCCTTCTTGGCTTTTTAGCTTTTAATATTGAAGCAATAATTAATGCATTTACTTATACACAGCCCTTGGGAGAACTGTTTTTAAGTACCACATCTGTAATTTTGTCCTAGCTTGCTGGCTCTCCTAATTGTTAAAGAAAAAAAAGTCTTAACTCTTGAGATTTTGACACTTGGTATAAACACCAAAGATGTGTTTTTAGGTGACACAAACCAGCAGAGCTGTCATTAACGACAAAGAAAGCAGTGGTCACTGTCTTAAAGCCATGCTAGAGCCCAGAGCTTGAGGCGCTTAGACGGGTAATAACCAAACCCTACGTTAATAGACTCTAGTTTCTCTTTACTGCTGTGGTGTCACACGAAGCAGCCCTAGTGAATCTTGCTTTTCTTGTTGGATCTAGTGGCCATCAGAAAAAAAACAACAAAGCTGTATTTTACCATTTATGAACATATACTGTTTGATGTTTTGTTTAACAACACTCACACACATACAACCAAAAGAAAAAAGAAAAAAGGAGGAAGTAAAGAAAATAAGAAAGAAAGAAAACAACCAAAAACCAATTGAAGTGTAGACTCTCTGATCAGATTTAATTGAAGCTGATCATGTCAGATGCTCCTTGTGATTCCAAAAACTACCTTGTAGAAGGTTTTTGTTTTGTTTTGTTTTGTTTTTCCCTGCTTTTTATGCCAATGCATTTCTGGCCCATGTTTTCTTCCCCATTCCACAAATAAAAGCAAAATCAACCAGGGCTACAAAGTTGACACTGTATGGGTTGTAAGAAGAAAAAAAAAATATTAGTATTTTGCTATGACAGAAGCTTCCCCCTGCCCCAAAGCAGGGTTTCTCTGTGTAGCCCTGGCTGTCCTGGACTCACTTTGCAGACCAGGCTGGCCTCGAACTCAATCTGCCTGTCTCTGCTGGGATTAAAGGCCAGTGCCACCATGCCTGTTGACAGAAGCTCTTTTAAAAATCTTTGTAAGTTAGCATTAGAGTAGACATATTTTAGCGACACCACACAGAATGATAGTTTGGAAAGAAAATAGAAAACAAAATCCTGAGTAAAGTGTTGTTAGTGAAGGTTCCATTTAATTATGGCCAAGAGAATGAATGATATTAAACACCCTGGTATGTGACATTCTGTTGGTTGTCTGAAATTAGGGAAGTATAACTATCAGAAAAAAATAAAGTGCATGTTTGTGCGCCTGTACACACACATACATTATATACCAGAAACAAAATTCTGGTTTTGCCCTGCATGCCCCAGAATCATAGATCTCAGGAGCTGAGGTCTGATTCTGATTTGGGTTGCTGGGTGGATGGTTTGACTAAGGATAAAAGGGTTGGGATGAAGAAGTGTGATTTCAGACTCGGAGGCTTTAAGTGAGGGGGTGGGGAGCACACAGTAGGAGTGTTCCCAGTGATGGGTGGGTGCACGGTTGCAAAGGTGGGAGGGAGTACCACATTTAGGTGGAGGGCCAGTAGGGGCTGCCCTTGTGGCCATATGACAAAGGTCAGCAGATGTGTGCACAGGTGTCCACCGAGGTCAGGAATAACCGCTGGCTCCAGAACCTATGATAACTAATTTCCATACGGAGCACCAAGAATGTTCTATGAGCCGACCAATCTCGGGGGGAAAATCCCAACAGGTTAAGGAGATTGAAGACATAAAAGTATAGCAAAATGAGAAACACAATTAAAGCCCACTGTAATCGTTTTTCTAGGTTATCCTTTTCGATCCCTTTTTCACCTTAATTCTCTGAGGCCAGGGTAATTTCCTGTGAGAAGAGACCCACGGCTTCAGTCGGGGGAAAGGAGAAAGTCCTCTTATTACCTCCTTGGGAACCAGGCACGCACATGGTGCGCAGACATCATGTATCATAATAAAATAAATCTTTAAAAATTTAAAGGCTCTCAAGAAATGAAATATTAAATACTAAATCAAATAATAGAGCTCTGGTTTTTTTTCAGGTTAAGCTTCAAAGAGGATGTAAAGTCACTGGAAATCACAGCTGGGTGGACAGTGGAAGCCAAACAAGAGCATGCGTCAACGTTCAGTGGGAAATCTTGTGTTTTTTCTGAATTAGGTGGCTGCTCTGATCTGCTTTGCATGTTGGTTGCTGACAGATCCACCACAATTTGTTTGATTAGAAAAATAAAAAGAACCCAACACTCACATCTGAAAAAACTATTTACTGGGTACTTTTATATGTGCTGGTTTCAGTGCTCAGTCAGAGAAAGGGCCAGAGGGCAAAGCAGCAAACAGGGAACTGGCATCTGGCCTCAGGAAGCTGGGCAGGGACATAAAGACTGGGGCAGGCAATGGTGACAATCATGCAGTAAACTTTGGATGGGGACACCTACCTGCTGACCCTTGTAAGCCAGAAGGCATGGTAAGTGAGGTCACCCAGCAGGCCCCTTCCTGGAGCCACAGCACTGGCCCACACGGGCCAAAGTTTCCAGATGTTTCCATCAAAGTCTATGGCTCAGGATCAAACAGACTTCATGGGAAGTGTTTGTGGATGTGGCGTGGTGGTGGTACCACGAGCCTAGCGTGTGCAAAGCCCTGGGCTCAACCTCCACGCTAGGCACGGTGCACACTCCTACAGTTCAAGAATGATCTGTAGGATCATGGCTAAGAAAGATCATGTGTTTCAGGCCAGCTTGACCTGGAGAGTAAGACATTATGAGACTATGAGACAGACACAGAGAGGAAAGCGAACAGAGAGAGGAGAGAGCAAAGAGATGAGAGAGAGAGGGGAGAGGAGAGAGAAAGCAGAAGAGAGGAGGAGAGGATAAGAGAGGAGAGGGGAGGGGAGAGAGGGAAGGGAAGGAGAGGGAAGAAAGGAGAGAGGAGGAGGAAGAGGAGAGAGATTAGAAAAGCAAAACTAAGGAAAAACCTCTACTGCTTGACATGGAACATACTGCAAGCTAAATATGCAGTGGTCAGGTAAGGACTGATCTGATAAAAAACATCCATTTGCCTGTGTGTGTGTGTGTGTGTGTGTGTGTGTGTGTGTGTGTGTGTGTCACACACTGGAAGCATCCTGTCACTCCCAGCCCCACTTCTGTCTCTAAACACTTGATGCCATTGACAGAGCCAAACCTGTTTGTCCTTATCTAGAAAACATGATGTTAGGGTTGTTATGAAAGTTAAATGGGATAACCTTTGTAAATTTAACTGCTATATAATATTAATAGATCTTAGGCCAAAATGTAAAGTGTCTGAGGTCAGGGAATAATAAAAATGAGTACTTGCAGTTTAATTTATGTGGAAAAGTAGAATTGGCATTCTAGATTTTTTTCCTTTTAATCTTTTATAGATTTTTTTCATGTAAATCATTTTGAAGGGTATGTGGGTAAAATAATATGATATCCAGAATCTGTTTAAAATAATGTTGTGCAGCTGGGATGAAGTTCAGTGGTAGAGTGCTTGCCTAGCACATGCAAGGCCTTGGGTTCAAGTCTTAGCACGGCAAAAATAAACAAGTAAATAAAACAGCACTGCTGCAGCTCAAGGGTAGGCTGTGTGCTTAATAGCAGCACAATAACAGGCAGTAATAATGAGGATGAAGCTGGTGGTATGACTGAGGAGGAGAATGTGTATGGATGTCTTCATGCTAATCAGCTGTTGAGGCTACAGGTAGATGAAGCCTCGGCAGTGTGTGCTGTCTGTCTTTATGCAGGCTCGCACTTGTAATAAAAAGTTAAGAGACAACAATAATAAACTCATAATTTGTAGCTATATTTATATATATTCTCTGATGGAGTGTGAATGTCCAATTTTCTTTTCAGAGCTGCTGAGCATGACTATCTGTCAACCTGAGACAGAATCACGTTGCTACGGCAACTCTTCACTAAGTGGAGTCAAAATGCTGGCAGCATCTTATCCAGGAGATGATTTGTATATGAGAGAGAGAATTAGCTCAACAAGCCTTCTAGGCTCTTCTGCCCTTGAGAGAGCTTCCATCCCTTGCCTGCCATGAGGGACAGAGGTGCAGACAACCCCAGGACTTCAAGATTAAGTGAAAGACCCTTAGAGACAAATCAAGGTGGAAGAAATCACCTTGATTCATAGTCCTTGCTGTTTGCTGGAGCTCATGGCCCTGGTAGGCAGTGGTTGGCAGATAGACAATCAGACCTTCTTCTCAGGAAGACAGACCCTTGGCACATATTCTTTCTTTCTTTTAGGCCACTTCCCAACATGTGTGACTGATCAGTGATAGGGGACCTGGCCCAAGCCCCACTTCCGTCCACGGACTGTTTCCATGGAGGCCCACTAGCAATTTTAGAGACACAAGAAAGCTATCCTGTGGCTGGGGAATCGCTGTCCATCATTAAGTTCATCCCCTGCCTTCAGAGAGATCCTGATAAATCATTCCAGTTGGTGACTTTTGTGACAAATGAGGGTCTCTCTGCGAAAGTCCCATGAGTTAACCCCACAAATGACCAGGCCGTTCCTGTTGTATAGCTTGGCTGTGGGCTCCCTTGTTTGTTGGGTCATCCTAGGCAAGTCATTTTTCCTGTATGTGCTCATTCTCTTTTACATCATTGCTCCCTCAGGGCTCAGGAAGCAGGATTAGACCTGCAGATGAGCGCCAAAGAATGCCTAGGTGACTGTAGTGCATGTTATGAGGGACTCGGGTCACTTCAGGTGCCTCCTGCCACCATTTCTTCCTCTTCATTAACTTCTCCTTTTTAAAGAGCCTCACCAGCCAGCCTAGGCTAGTCCCAGGAAGCCGCCTCAATTTTCCAATAATTAACCCCTTTTTCAGTTTCTGGGCATTAACAAGCACCTAACACCTGTGTCCTAGAATGTGGCTCTGCCTTCATCAAATGCCTGAAGGGCCTCCTCCCCCACTCTGAGCTGCCTCTCTCTTTCAGCTTTTCTCCACCCAAGAACTCAGTTCTTTCTGATGCAAAGTATCATCAAACAGTCCAAAGACACAGCACAACCCGGAGAGCTGCTCTCCGGGGTTGTCTGACCATACTGAGATGTTTGGTTGCCTCTGAACGCAGGGTCTGATTTCACACCCCTGCCCACACACACTTAATGCTGGCTACTAGATGCCCCCCCCCCCCCCCCGCCTCCTACTTGGCGTCAGGGGGTCCAGTCCTTCCTAACTCGCCAAAGTTAGCTAACACTTACTGTGGTGTCTCTCCATGGTTCGGAACAGATGTTTCCATGAGGCCACTTCTATGCTTTTACCTTCAGGGAGAAATGAAGTATAACCCCCCATGCACACCAGCACACACACACACACACACACACACACACGCATTAAACTTGAAAACAGTAATTCGAACTCTTGCCTTTGGTTTTCAGGATGTTTGCTGCCTGTCAGGTTGAATGGCATATTAACTGAAGAAGGGTATCCTCCCTGGCACCTGTTGCAGTGTGCTGGCTTTGGAGGGTGACAGGCACGCCTGTCCTAAACTTCCCAGAGTGGAGCCCATTAAGCACACCGGGGCTGAGGCATGTGGTGAGACTGTGTGAGCATGAAGAGTGAGGGTATGAGCAGAACCTCCCTTGAGTCCAAAGGGCAATAGGGAGTTATGCTAAGCTCTGGAGAAATGAAAGCATCTTCAGATCTTTCTAGCTCGTGGTTTGTCTCTAGTTATTTCATGGGTCTACAAAAGTAGCATCAGAGCCAGTGAGATGGCTCTTTGGGTAAGGCGTTTGCTGCACAATCCTAACCTGAGTGCCCGCTCTCTGCCTGAGTTTGATCCTGGCAACCGAGTTCAGTTTCCTTCAGGGGAAGGAGAGAACCAAATTGTCCTCTGATGTCCACATGACCCTGTGCCACCCACCCCCGTGAAAGTGGCGATGACGAATAAAAATGTAATTCTAAGAGTCACGTCAGAAGGGGAAGTGACATCCTTGAAGACCGTGTGCCCAAGTGACCTGAGTGACCTGAAGCCTTTAACCAGAGGCTCAAGCAAGCTGTGGGTGTGATCTACCCAATGACTGCAAAATTACAGTTAGGGGTGGCAGTCGCTCACACCCGTGGTGGGCTACAGGGTAACACGGAGCTCAGCCAGGGCCGCTCAGCAAGACCCTGTTTCAAACAGAAAGTGGAAAGAAGTGGGTTTAACTCAGCAGGAAAGCACTGAGGCCCTAGGTTCAATTCCCAGTACCAGAAAAAACTAAAATTAAAAACCAGTGGTGTGGTTAGGGGTGTGGCTCAGAGCTGGAGTGCTTCCATAGCAAGTGTGAGGACCTGGGCTCATTCCCTAACACACACACACACACACACACACACACACACACACACTCACACACATACTCACTCATACACACATAAAGAGACACACACACACTCTCACATACATACACATGTACACACACACATTCACATACACACACACACACACACACACACACACATACACTCAGTGGAACATTTTCCTCCTTTCCTGAAAACATAGCGAATACCAGCTATGGAGCGGTGACTAGAAGTTCAAGAAATGTGTGAAATAATCTGTTTCTTGGGAATATTTGCCATCACGTAAAAAAGTGATAAAAGTCAAAATTCCAAGCTAAAACAACAAGTCAAAATCCCGGCAACGCTTGCAGAGTCCTCTGGAGGATGCAGAAGAGGGATCTGCACAGAAATGCTGGAAGGCCCGGCCTGACCAACTGTGGGCGAGCCCTGCAGCCAGATGTGGGGTGCTCCCAAGACCTACCCGCTACCGCTGAGTGGTCTCTCTCTCTCCTCGCTCTCTGCCAAGCCCCTGGCACACCTCAGAGTCTTTGAAAAGCGCCTGTGCTTGGTGGTGGGTGAGCTGTCTTCTCCGGCTGCCGTTCACCGTGGGATTCTATTCTCTCCCCTCTCCACTTAGAGCAAATTGAAGCTGAGTGCTGCAGGGGCTGCCTCAGTCCACACAGCTCACCATGTTGGGTTAAAGGGGGTCTTCTCCATGGCCATTGATGTTGCTTGCTTCAAACCCCACATTCTGGACACATTATTGGAATGGCTCTTGGTTTACAGTCCTTTCTATTGAATTAAAAGCTGTCTACTCTAAATACTGTAGCCAAAGTCACAGGGGGCAGATTTGAGTCCCAGACATTCTTTTCTCTTCCTCTGTGTCTCAGAACTAGCCACTGAGTCTCAGTTTATTCGTCTAGAAAATGAGCTCATAAGCTAACCTCCATGACAGGAATGTCCCCAGGAC